CTGGAGCAATCTGCTACCCTGAATCCTAGCCTGACTCCTAGCCTATCTCTGTCTCTACTCCAGATGCAGTCCACTTATGTCCTCCAGGGCTTGCACCTCCAAATCCCACATATTTTCCAGACCCACTTGGACAATGGCAGCGGCAGCAGCAGCAGCAAGCTTTCCCAGGACAGTAGCAGCTACAGGGTAAGACAAAGTCCTATCCTTTCAGGGGCAGTGAGATGCCACAGTGGGTACAGCACCAGCCCTGGAGTCAGGAGGACCTGAGTTCAAATCCGGCCTCAGACACATAACACTTACCAGCTGTGTGACCCTGGGCAAGTCACTTAACCCCATTGCCTAGCCAAAAAAAAAAAAAAAAGTCCTATCCTTTCCAACTGACCCTCCTCTTCCCCTCCCAAGACCAGGAACTGAAACAGCCTTGCCCTGACCCATCACCAGCTCCCCAAGGCTTCGGGATACAGGAAGTGAGCTTAGGTCAGCAAATAGCCTGGGTCAATTCCTGTAATTCCACACGAGGAAACAGGGCTGGAACTCACTTGAGAAACACAGAATATCAGAGCTGGGAGGGCCCATAGGACATGAATACCAGAGCAGAGAACATAGAATGTTAAAGCTGGGAAGGGCCTTGGAAGGTGGAAAGTCAAATCTGGAAGAAATCATGGAACACACAGAATGTCAGCACTAGATGGAAAGAACCTTGGATATATTCCAAAATGGAGTATTACAGGAACCTTAGAACACAGAACACCAGAGCATCCCCAGACATTAGAAATGAGCACAGGATGCTAGAATTAAAAGAGGCCTCAGTCCAGCCCGTCTCAGACTGTGGTTGGGGAGAGGGTCTCCTGGGGGTCCCCAAGACCCTGTCAGGGGGTCCTCAAGGTCAAAATTGTTTTCATAATAATACTAAGATGCTTTCATTTCTAATATGGTAAATATTGGTAGATAGAACTCACATAAACCAAAGCTCTTTGGAGGGGTCTGCAGAAAGTTTTGAGAGTATAAAGGGGTCCTCAGACCAGAAAGTTTGAGAACTGAGGTAAGTCCTCCCGAGCACAATCTGTTCATTCTCCTGCTGAGGACACTCAGAAATGGCCAATCAGTTCAACTCACAGGAACATCTCCCCTTTCTCCCGTGCTCTGATGGGTACAAAGCCCTTCCTCCTGCCAACCCTGTAGGGAACATTAATATCCCCATTTTGCTTATGAGGAAACAAACAGCCCAGAGAGGCCAAGTACTTTGCAGAGTTCATACAGCTGGTAAGTGCATGGGCCAGGACAGACTCAGGTCTCTTGATTCCAAATCCATCGTTCTAATGAAATTCTCTACCCTTCCCCCCCTCCCCCTCCCCCCCCGAATTTATTCCCCACATTCTGTAAACAGAACCCTTTACTGGGCACAGGGAAGGTACAGAGCTAGAGTGAGCCTTAGCTCCTGGCTGAACCCTGGGACTCCCAGGAAGCATCTGCTCGGGGCCCCACTTGTGTCTGCCTTCTTCCCCTCTTCCCTCTCTGACTTGTGGTGACTGGCAGGTGGGGGTCCTTTACTGGGTCAGGGCATCCTGAACCTCCCCTAACTGGTGACTTGAGCTGGCGTCCTCCATCTGGGCAATGACTGGTTAAGAGCACCCCCTCGCTGTGCTCCTCTGTCCCAGGTACCTGGGGACATCCCATCAGCTTGTGCAGTGACCCTGACCGGTCCCCCCCTCACCCTCTGCTTCTCAGGCATCATGATAGGTGCTGATCTGGTTCCCTCCTTCCCAGTTTCCGGGAGCCTGGCTCCTTTTGGCCAACGTGGTCGTGGTGCTGATTCTGGTGCCCCTGAAGGACCACGTACTCGATCCATTCCTGCAGCGGCGGAAGCTGCTCCCCTCACTTCTCAAGAAGATGGCCTTGGGCATGTTCTTTGGCTTTACCTCCGTCATTGTGGCAGGTCATTCTGGGGAATGGGGGGTGGGGGCCCACTGAGCACAGGGGAGAATAGCCCAACAGCCCACCATGGAGTGTGGGGGAGCTGAGGCTGGATCTAGTCATCATAGGCAGATATAGAGGCTGTCCTGTGCCAGCGATAAAGGCCCTCGGGCTAAATCAGACACACCACGGTAGGAAAAATGAAGCTGCTAATCCTTGTGCCAGAGTACACTATGCCAGAACTGGACAGGACCTTAAAACATGGGGCATGGAGTGCCAGAGCTGATGGGCCATAGAATTTCAGTCCTAGAAAGGACTATAGAACATAGAACACAGCATGTGGGAGCTGAGAGAGACCTCAGAACCTGGAACACAGAATGTCACAGAAGCCATTTTAGGGCCCTAAAATATAGAAAGTCAGTGAAGGGGTGCCATTTTAGGACATATGAGACAGCATGTGGCTACAAAGGACTTTGGAATAGAGAATGTTAGAGCTGGGAGAAACCTTAGAATATAGAATGTTAGAACTGGAAGGGTCCTTCTCAGGCATCCAACCCAACCCCTTCTTCAACAGAGCAGAAACCTGAAGCCAAAGCAGGGCAATGACTTGCCCAGGGTCATACATAAGGATGATAAAGTTGGGACTCAAACCCAGGTCTCCTGATCGCCAGTGGAGGGGCCTTCCCCTTACACCACACTCTCCTCTCACGACACAATCAGTCCATGAGCACAGACCCTTGCTTATTGGGGCAGGCCTGTGCTGTAGGGCTGTGCCCACTGGTGGGTACATTAGCATTGTAGATGATGAGGCTGTGAGACTGCGGCCCACAGTCCCTGAGCTTCTCAACCCTGGTGACTCCCCAACAGGCGTCCTGGAGACCAAGAGGCTCCAATACATTCACCACAACGAGACAGTGACTCAGCACATCGGACAAGATGTGTATTTTGCAGCGCCTATGTATATATGGTGGCAGATCCCTCAGTATCTTCTCATTGGCATCAGCGAGATCTTTGCCAGCATCCCAGGTACCACAGTGATTCTCCTTAATCCTTTCCCCAGACACGGCCAGGAGCCTATTGGGGTCCGTGCATGGGCATCAAAGGAGGGATGGTTGGATGGTGGGTGCCGAAGATGGATGACTCAGTGTGAATCCAAGAGGTCAGAAAGGCTCCCCACCTGGGGACTGCTGACTGAAACCAGAGGCCCAGAAACTTAGGAAGCTTTTTCTGCCCCAACACAGAAAAAGGGGCTCTCCCTGCGACCCCTGCTTTCTCAAAGAAAGAACCACTGAACCTCAGAATTAGAAGTGACCTCACATGGAGGGCCAAATCCTATCTCCAATACACCCAACAATTACTCCTCCAGCTACCACCTAGAGATCTCCAAGGAGAGAAAATTCACCACCCCTCAAGGCAGCCCGTTCCATCTGGGGATAGTTCTGTCAGGCAGTTTTGCCTTGTGCCAAGCTCTAATCTGCCCCTCAGGCACTTCCACCTGGCAGAAGGGCAGAAAGAAATCCGAGGCGGCCACCTGAAAACAAGCAGGCATGGTCTCAGGGAGATTGTGTAAGGTGTGGGCGGCTGTTGAGTAGGAGGAGTCTGTCATAATGGGCAAAGAGAGGACCAGGTCAGTGTTGGTCGGGAGCGGCATGTGGGCACCAGGTGAAGCCATCGTGCTTCCCCAAGGAGCTTCCCTGGGTCCAACAGGGAGAATGCCCTCGTACAGAGCCAGATCCAAAGTCTTGACCGGCACCCTCTGTGCCCCCAACATAGGCCGGCCCCATTCTAGCTCAGTCAGCTGGGGGGGTACAGAGGCCTGGACCTTCTCCAGAACAGAACCAGGCTGTCCTCTGAGGCTCCACGACCCAGGTCCCTGCTCCGGCCCTGAAATATGGCCCCTCTCCCTCTTCTTCAGAGCCAAACCCGGAAGCAGCGAGGGAGGTGGTTAGGCATAGGGCTTGCGTTTTAAGGGAGAAGCCCATTCATTCCTAGCATCTGCAGCCTGGGCTTGGGGTTTTCTTCCCGCCCACTCTCCAGCTGCCCTGGCCTCCCATGCTCACGTCTGTGTCCCTCCCTCTCTCCTAGGTCTGGAGTTTGCCTACTCAGAAGCCCCCAGATCTATGCAGGGAGCCATCATGGGCATCTTCTACTTCCTGTCGGGGGTCGGCTCAATTCTGGGCTCCGGCCTGGTGGCTTTGCTGTCCCTCCCAGAAGGGGGCTGGCTGCACTGTCCCACGGATTATGGTACGTACGCGTGAGTGTGCGCGTGTGTGTAGGGGGCGATGGATAAACTTAGAGGGTAGGGCGGTTACAGTCCCCTGCCTATTCCATCCCCTCAGACCCCCAATGCCCCAGCCGTGAAGGATCAGATGCCCTTGGATACACGTAGCCTTAGTGTTACAGTCATGATCAGTTCGGAGTCTCTGGTCCACACTCCTCAGACGGGAAACTGAGGCCCATAAAAGAGAAGCGCTTGCTCCATCCCACAGTGAGGGGGCCACAGAACCCGGGGCCCCAACCCTGCTCCTCCTGCCATACGTTAAAATGTGACACTTTCCCCCAGCCTTACCACCCCCCACCAGGCACCTGATATTCCAAAGGGAAGGCTACGAGCAGGGCACCCATCATACAACCCAAAGGAGTCCCCTTTTCCTGGGGAGACCAGACTGAGCCCTGGGGCGAGTGACAGCCGAGTCAACTCAGCCCTTCAGCCAGGGAGCAGCCCCACACCTTCCCAACCCCGAGGGGGAACCCAGGGAAGTGCCGAGAGAGATCTGAACCCAGATCCCCTGCCTCTGCCTGGTCCTTCTCGGGCTCTGGCGGGCGAGGCAGGGAGCCTCAAGCGCTCAGTCTTCTCTGTCTCGCAGGAAACATCAACAATTGCCGGCTGGACCTTTACTTCTTCCTGCTGGCTGGCATCCAGGCCGTCACTGCCCTCCTCTTCCTCTGGATCGCCAACCAGTATGAGCGGTCAGCGCCTGCTTCAACCTGCCGCCCCGAGAAAGAGGGCGGCTGAGGGAGGGCTCCGAGGGCCAGGCACGACCACAGGCAACGAGCACAAGGGACAGGCCTCGCTGCCTCGGGGCTCTGATTTCCTTTCCACTTTATTTTGTACCCAACGTAAGAATAAAACATTTGTCATAAATAGCGGGGCACCGGCCCTTCCTCACCCCACAGCAGTGAGATGGGGAGTGGGGGCGTGGGAAGCCAGGGCCTTGGGGTGGGTTGGCAGGCAGGGAGACGGGAGGACTCAGGTCAGCACCCACAAGAGAAATGTCTGCAGTTGGGGAAGGGCATTCTCTGACTCCCGCCCCCCAGGACTGTGGGCCCAACGTCCCCAGGCTGGGCATCGGGGCCAAGGGGCTGGAGGTCAGGAGCTGCCCCGGATCCTCTCCATGTAGCTTCTCAGCTCGTCGGGGTCCCTTAGCCCCATGTCCTCACACACCCAGCGGATGTCATCCTCCCCAGCCACCAGAATGGACTGGACCGCGGGGGCCGGAGGCTCCTCGGGGGGCCGGGCCGGGGGTGCCGCCGCAAAGGTCACAAACTCCACCCGCTTCCTTCGGCCCCCGGGCTCCTTCCGGGGCAGGGTGGCCCCCAAGGGTGGGGTAGGGTCCGGACTGCCTCCTCCGCCTCCTCCTCCCCCCCCTCCCTCACAGTGGCAGCCTCCCTCCCCTGGGGCAGGGGGAGCTGGGCTTGGGGGCCTCTCCTCCCGGGGGGGTCGCCGGTCCAGCTGCCGGCTCAGCTCCTCCTGATCCGTCCCCAGCCAGACCCAGTTGTGGGGCTGGGGGGAAGCGGGGCCCCCGGAGGCTGGGGCATCAGGGGGCTCTTTGCGCTGGTACCGTAGCACAAAGACCACACCGTTAACAAGGAAAATGAAGATGGCCAGGCAGAAGATGCTGAGCAGGGCGTAGAGGCCCAGCTCCAGGTCCGTCACCCTCTGAGGGGCCCTCACCATCTCCTCCTCCTCGTCCTGCTCTTCCTCCTCCTCCTCCTGCTCCTCCCCGAGGTCCTCTGGACGCTCAAACTTGCTCCTCAGTCCCCCCTCGCCCCCTGGCCCCTGACGCCTCCCCCCTCCCCCATTGCTCTCAGTGACCGGGGGAGCAGAGGTGGTCAGGGGGACCTGCTCGTGCTGCCGAGGGGGCACGGGGGGCGCCCCCAGCCAGGCCGTGGTGGAGGCCAGCGGGGGCCGGTGTTTGCCCCGGCGGCAGGACTCCGGGGAGTGCAGCCCCACCTGCAGGGGCATCCCCTCGTTGGCCCCTCCACTCACCAGCCCCCCAAAGAAGGCCCCTCGCTCCCTGCCAGGGACCGCTGAGGAGAAGGCTCCCGGCTCCTCAGTGGAAACTGCCAGGGCCAAGTTCCTGTGGCCAAACAGCTCTGCTGGGGCCAGAGTGCGGTCCGAGAAGGCCAGCCACAGGGAGAAAGCGACTTCCTACAGGGCCACGGGGGGAGGGAGACACCGTACAATGGGAGACCAGAGACACGTACGCAGACACACAGATACCACCCACATGGACACACACACAGAGACCCACACGAAAGAGGCGAGAGAGGAGATAACAGAGAAGCAAACAACGGAGAGAGAGGCGACCCAGTTAATCGCCTACCGGCCTTCAGCCCCCTCCTTTACACTCCAGAGGGGGCCCAGGGCCAGAGGCTGACCTGAGCATTTTCCTTTTCAAGGCCATTAAAGGGCCTCCCTCCTCCCTCTCTCCCCACTACCTCCACCCCTCTAGGCTCCATCCTTCTCTCTTTGGAGCCCCTGATCCTGTCTCCTTTTGGGGAGGTTGACCCTGCCCATCCATGCACCCATCTCCCGCCCTGGCCTTCACCTGTTTCAAGCCGGGTGGAGCTGTGTGTGCCCAACAAGTCGCAGTGATCTCCCCAGGGTGGGCGGTGCCCCGGCTCAGCGCCAAGGAAATGCTCATGACTGGCTGTGCCCGAAGTTCCAGCACAGAGACCTTTTCGTCTGTCACGGACAGAGCCTGCTCTCCGAGGATGGAGTCGGAGAGTGGTGAGCGCACCTAAGGCAGGAAGGAGAGCTGAAGGGGGAGGGGGAGAGCCTTCCTGAAAGGGCTCTATGCCCCACCCCTCCAATCCCCTGCGTCCACTGTTCGTCTTGCCCCATCCTTCCCACACTCCCTCTCACCTCCAAGGAAGTGACCCCTGGCTCCCGTCCAACCAGCACGCTGCCACCCTCCAGCGTGGCCACTCGGGGGTCTTGGACACGGGCATGGGGTCCCACAAGGTGAGACACATCCAGCAGCCAGTCAGGGCCCAGGAGATAAGTAAGATGGCGGCCCCCATCCTGAGGGTGGGCAACGAAGGGGACGAGGAACCGGACGCCAGCACGCTGGTACTGCAGCCGGCAGCTTCGTGCCCGCCGGTCTGCCTCCTCGCCTCCTTCCTCAGGCTCGGCGGGGGCGCTACCCAGCCAAGGACAGAGTGGTCAGTGGAGGAGGGTGGCCTGGAACGCCCCTCTCTGACCCATACCACAGGCCCCTCTTCGACCAGACGAAGCTGTCCACTCTAGGACAACCCCTACCCCAGTCCCTTGATAGTATCTACTTCTGTCCATTAATCTACACTGACTCTGCTCCCTGCTCCTGGTGGGCTGACACAGAAGAATCCAGAGGTTCTTAACCCAGGGTCTGTGAACTTGAACATTGGAGAACTCCATTTCATAGAATTGGTTTCTTTTTAAATGCTGCGTAGTTTAATTTATGCCTTTAAAAACATGGTTCTGAAAAGGGATCCCTCAGTTTCCCCAGACTGCCCAAGGGGTCCAGCACACACAGAAGAGGTGAAGAATCCCTGAAGGTACAGGATCACAAGATCAGGGGGTTCAGAGACAGAGGGCATCTTAGAAATCATGACCTAGTACAAAGTTTGAGGAAAGTGAAGCCCAGTGCTTTGCCCAAGGTCACCCTTAAACTCGGCCTTGCTAAGAGCGATGGAAAGAGTCTGGGGAACTTCCACAAGAAGTCACCATGTTGGTAAAAGCTCCTGAGGTCATAGGATCATGGGGGAAAAGGACCTCGGGGTCCATCTGGACCAGTGGCAGAGCCAAGGTTCCAGAGAGGTCAGAGTATGGACACAGGACCCTTGTGGCGGCCCAAGAACGGCTCTCCTATTCAAGAATGCAGAGTCACAAAACGGGGCAAAGATCTCCACCAGCTCCTTCTGACCAAGGGGCAGAAGGGAGGGAGTCATTTTGGTGACTTCCACCTTGCCCTCCCACGTCCAGCACAGTCAGTCCCATCCAGAGGCCCTCCTCCCCAGCTCCTAGCCCTCCTGCCATATCCTGAAAACTTCTCTGCTAAGATCCCACCTCCTCTCTCCTCCCTCCAGTGTCCAAACTGCAGAGACAGTTGGCCAACCCAACCCGAGCCCCGAAACGCACTGGCCGGCCGTGTTCTGAACTCACCCGCTGGCTGGCCCGGGAACCCGCCAGCCTCGGACTTGCTCCAGGGTGGTGTCCGTCATCTCAATTCGCAGCGGCAACAGCGGAGTCCACACAGTGACCCGGAGTGAGGCCCGGAGCCGGCGCCACCAGAAATCCACCTGGACTCCCCGGGCCCCCTGGCTCTCCTTGCCTTCCACAAACACCTCATCACAGGCCTCGGACACCTGGAGGGAGGCAGAGGGCTCAGGAGGGCAGCACACACCTGGGAGGGTAGCTGCGAGGAGGGGTTGTACCAAGTGGCGAGGGTCCGCTGGATTAGAGGATGAGAGCTGCAGGCGGAAGAGCACTTAACCTAACCTAATTTTACAGAAGAGAGGCCCGTGGGGAAGAAATGACTTGATCAAGGTCAGAATTCAAAGACTCGGGGCTGGAAGGAATCCAACCCTTTCGTTTTGTCAGAGGGGAGCACGGGCAGAGTGTAGAGAAAGGGACGTCCCCAAGGTCCCAGATTTAGAGGCAACACGACACGAGCGAGAGAGCATTGGACTTGGAATCAGGAGGGCCTGGGTTCAAATCCTGCCTCTGACACTCACTAGCTGGTTGACTCTAGGCAAGTCACTTAACCTGTCTGCCTTGGTCTCCTCTACTGTAAAACGAGGGCGTCAGACTCAATGGGCTAGCTCTAAATCTACGACGACCTGGAGAGAACCTCAGAGACCACAAACTCATCTTCAGAGGAGGAAACGTAGGCTCTGGGGCAGAGGAGAGGAAGGTGACCGCACTCCCAGCGGTGGAGACCAGCCCCGACCCAGGACCGCGGACTCCCACCACACCACCCTCTTTCCACCAGACTGAAATCCACTCTGACTCTTCACCGACAACATGTCTATTGTGTTCTGCCTCTCCAGACTTATCATCCTGTTTACATTTCATGGGGGCTGGGTTCTCTGAGCGCACATACACTGGTTGGGTGGCTTCGGAGAGGAGTCTGGGGGGCAGGCAGAAAGAACGTGAAGGCCAAGGTGGGAAGGAACGTTGGCCGTAGTTAGGTAATAAAGAGTCGGCCGTATTACTGAATCATTTTTGTGGCTGTTATTGACTTCTGGCCTGTTCTTTCCCCAGAGCTCAGTCCTAATCCACACCACTGAGAGCAGAAGGCCTTTCACGCGGCTCTCCGTACTTGGCCTACTCAGTGTCTGGACGGGATCTAGACAGAAAGGGTCCTGACACCGTCGGAGCATAAATGAAAGGGACTTTAGAGGCCACGTGGCCCAAGCCCTTCCTTTTACAGTTGAGGAAACTGAGGCCTGAAAAAGCTAACTGGTTTGACCCAGTTCACATGGAAAAGGAAGGCAAGCGCTTTAACCCAGGTCTTCCCATTCCAAACCCAAATGCCGGTCCTTGTGCTCCACTCTCTAAAGCTGAGCTGAAGGAATGGGGGTTGGGTGGCTGGTGGAAGAAACCTTCTCAGGGAGGTCTCACTGGCTGCCCTCAAGGGATTGGCTTGGTCTGCTGGACTGCAGCGGGCAGCACCAGGAGCAATGGGGAAGATGCCAGGAAAGACTGCCTCAGAGCCATCCCAGGGTTGAATGGGCGGCCTAGGGAGGTGGTAGGCTCCCCGCCTGGAGAGCAGAGTCTGAACGACCCCTCGTGGGGAGGGTCCTGGGGGATTCCCTCTGGGAGAAGCTTTCCCTCTGAAGGGGGAAGGAGCCTCGATTCCACCTGGGTAGCCCTAGGGTGGAAGAGGCAGGTGCAGGGAGAGGGCAGGGTCCGACAGGGAGACGCACGCCGCTCACCTGCAGGACTTGAGTGTTGGCTGATTCACAGCCCACCTGCTCAGTGACCTCCACCACAGCTCCACCCAGCTCCACGGTGACCAGGCGTATGGGTACTCTTTGGGGAATGCCAGTCAGGGGGGCGGTGTTCACCAGCTCCTCGGTCTGCAAGGCAGGGAGGAGGTTAGGTCACCCGTCGGCGCTCCTCAATTCAAGGTTTTCCCCTGGGGCCCAACACACCCCTGATGCCATCGTGGCAACCGTACAGGGGCCTGATGCTGAATTCTGGCTACATGGCACAGCGGGCACTGGCTCCTGAGCTCTCCTAGAATAGTCCCCAGGAAACCCACACCCTGCAGATGCCTGGCATGCATCTTCTCTTTCTTGTACCCTACGACCATAAGGAGCCCCAGGGACCTCCCTGGGCTGGGAAGAGGGTGACGCTCAAGGTCCTGAGGTGGTGGCTGTGAATAGGCAACCCCACCCTAACCCCCCCATGGTCTGGTACCTTTGCCATGGGGACAAGCGCCCGGATGCCCCGCTCAGACACCAGGATCTCCCACACCATCTTATCCTTCTTGGCCTCAGGGACCTGGCTTGGGTATTCCAGCTGCCATGTAACTGGACGGGTGGACAATGAGGCCCCTGTACTGTTCTCCACGGCAAAGTCCACCCACAGGAACTCTGTGAATCCAGGCAGGCTTCCAGGAGGAGGAGGAGGAAAGTCAAGCCAGTGAAGGGAAGGAGGATCAGGGAAACCACCCTGTCCCTCTTCCCCTTCCTGGATTCTCCATTCTTTCCCTCATTCACATCTCCTTCCTCACCCTGGATCCCAGCCTTCCTGTTTTCCTCCAGTCCCCTAAAAGACCACCATAAAACAACAGCAGCCCACCCTGCCACCCTCTAGAACTGGCCCTTCCTCCTCTGGTCAGCCTTTCCTCTGGTCTCTAAAGTGGCTCTCCCCTACAAGAAGTGATCTTTCCCAGCAGACTGGCCCCACTCTGGCCCCCCTTCTCCCTCCGATCTTCAATCACCCTCATCTACTGGCTCCTTTCCTGCTGTCTTCAAACACACCCAAGTCTCCGCCATTCTTTACAAACCTTCAGTAGACCTTCCAGCCCCATTTGCTATCACTCGGCATGTCTTTGACCTCTCAAAGTCCTCGAAAGAATCATCTCGACCCGTGGCTCTCTCTCTCCTCCAAGCTCTCCACAGCCTGGCTTTCACCTAATCACTCAGCTGAGATTCTTCCTCCAAAGTCATGGCAGATCTCTGGACGGTCAGCTCCGACGGCTTTTCTCAAGCTGTGTCTTTCCTGACCTTCCTGCAGCCTCTAACGCCGTTGTTCACCACCACTTCCTCCTCCCTGGGTTTTCAGGACCTGCTCTCTCTCGTTCTCTCCCACCTGCCTGACCGCTCCTTCTCAGCCACCATTTCTGGATCGTCATGTGGGTGGGTGTGTCCACAGACTCTTCCTAACGATATTATTTTCCTCTCCAGGCTCTCAGCTCTTACAGATTCCCAATTCTCCTCGCTGTGCAGGGGACACCCAGATCTACTGAGCCCACCTTGGTCTCTCTCTTGAGCTCCAGTCCCCAGTCACTAGCCGCTTGTTGGACTCTTCAAACCGGGGGTTATCCCAAACTCCCTATGTCTGAAACAAAACTTGTGACCTTTGGCCTCCCGCACCCCAACCCTTCGTCCCTCTTCTAAGCTTTCCTGCTCTTGTCAAAGGTACCACCGTCCTTCCACTCACACAGATTTGCAGCCTTGGCATTCCCTTGGGCTCCTCATCTACTCCCCATATCTGGTCTGTTGTCACATCTTGCCATTTTTACCTACACAACATTGACTCCCACAGCCACCATCTTAATTCGGACCCTCATGACCACTCGCCTAGATTGTCAGCCTCTTAACTGCCCTCCTTGCCTCAAATCTCTCCCCACTCCAATCCACCTTCTAAGCAGCTGCCAAAGAGATTTTTTTATAGCACAAGTTTGACCCCGGTACCCTTCTCCCCACTCAATAAACTCCAGTGCTCCCTAGTATCTCCAGATATAAACTCCTCTCTTGGGCATTTAAAGCTCTTCCCAGCCCCATCCCTTCCAACCTTTTCCAGTCTCCCAACATATAAGTCCCCCTTACAAAGTCTATGGCCAAGCCATACTGGCCTGCTCGCTCCATCTCCCAACTCCATGTCTGCATTGGCTGTCCCCCATGCCTGTAATGTACTTCCTTCACCTCTGTCTCCTGGAGTCACTAGCTTCCTTCAAGGCTCAACGCCCACCTTCGGAGAAAGGCCTTTCCTGACTCCCCCAGCTGCTACTGTCTTCCTTCCCCCAAACGAATCGTTTGGTACAAATTTTGTATGGAATTATTCACATATGTACTTTGTCTACCCCCACAGGAATGTGAGCTCCTTCGGGGAGGAACAGTATCTCTTGTCTTGGTACCCCAGCATCGTGCCTGGTACGTAGGCGGTATGGATGGACGGGGCCAGTCCTACCTGGTGTCTGACCACTTAGGCCCGGTGGCTTGGCAGGAGATGAGCACCGTGTGATGCTTGGAGCCTTTTAATTTTTCCAGTTTGGCTGTCCATAGGGAGGGGTGAGCAGGACGGGCGGCTGTCACCTGGAGCCCCTTCTTGACCTTGATCCTGGAGACGGCAATCAGAGTCACTTACCTGTGTCAGTGGTAACACGAGCTGAGTCCTGAGCCACGCATCTCGGAAGGATGGGAGTAGGTGGGAAATTGGGAACACAGCCCTCCTCCTCAAGGGGCTAATGGTTTGAGGAGGGAGAGAGGAAACGTGTGGAAAAGCCTTAAGAGACCTTCACGGACCAGCCCACAAATGAAAGCAACATACACACAAATACCTGTCGTACTATTACCACTGAGTATTGGAAAAGGGGGTGGAGTGGGGCAGGGAGACAGTCATGGAACCTCAGAACATCTGTGCTGGAGGAGACCTCTGAACATAGCACGGGGAATGCCAGAGGGAAGAAGCCGTGCCACGGCTGGGCTGGAGACCTTAGAACACAGAACATACGAGCTGGGAGGGACCTTGGAACCCAGAATTTTAGAGCTGAAAGGGACCTGAGAACACAGGCATAGGAATCCAGACTGCTTCCAAGTCAGCCGGCACCCACTTGCTGTGGGCCCCCAATCTCTGCCTACACACTCTCACTTGGGGATCCCTTCAGCTGGTTTTTGAGATTGGGGAAGCTGGCACAGAGAAGCGGGATGGGGGTGTCCCAGGAGACTCACCAGAGCATTAGGGAGTTATCGGTAAAGTTGTGTCTCAGCAGGATGGTAGCACTGAAGGACTGCCCAGGCCTCACGGCAGCATCGGACACTCGAAGGCGGACAGCGTCATCCAGGGGCACCTCTTGCTGGCGAGGGGGATCAGCCTGCTGGATCTCGACCCACCCCACAGGGAGAGACCGATCTGGGGGAACCCCTTCGCCGGCTGGAGCACACTGTCCGGGGTCCCCTGCCGCTGGCTCCAAGGTGTAGGCCAGCTCAGCCTTGGTGGTGGCGATGTTTGAGAACCAGTGCCGTGGGAATTTCATCTCTACCATGCAAGCACCCAGCGATGGCTGGAGAAATGTGAGAGGAACCCCCAGATCCCTGCTTTGGGAGACCCAATCATCCCAAAGGGGACTGAGTCCCGGCAGAGCCTTCACCTCACCCAACGTACCGCAATGCCCTGTAATCTCCCCTGAGCCTCCTTTCTATTAGATCTGTCCCCCTCACCAGAGTGTCACCCATCAGCCTTCCTTCAGTGGATAGGGACCCTAATCCCTCCCCTACTGCTCATCTGTTCATTCCGCCCCTCCCTAAAATGACCCCTGTGCCCACTCCATTTCTGCGACCCCTTGGGCCTTCCCCCAGCTCCACAGTAGGACGGGGTCAGGGCGCGACTCACTTGGAAGCGACAGGCCTGGTGTATAGTGCCCAGAGAGTGGATGGCATGGAGCCGGGCACAGGGCAGATTTCGGGGGCCAGGCTGCCAGTCCTGCCCTTTGAGGTAGAAGAGGACCCGCACGTGGGGGTCTAGTGGCGTGAGTATGGTCTCCACTGACACAGCCCGAACATCCCAGTCTGCAAGCAGACCACCGGGGTCTGTGGTCCAGGCTGGCACAGCCTGGAGGGTGGAAAGAAGAGACTGAGCCAGACCTTGGCACCACAACAGCAGGGTTCCTACTCGAGCCACAAGGAACTTGAGAAGGTATCTGGCCCAACAGGAGGAAACTGAGGTCCACAGACAAGTGACTCACCCCAGGTCACAAAGAGGCAGGATTTGAACCCAGGTCCTCTTTCTCCAAATCCAATACCTTTCCACTGTGTGACACATCTCCATTTCTCCTGCTAAATGGGGAGGGTCTGAAGCCCCCCCCCCCCATGCTGGGGCCTGGACTCTGGGAGCCTCTCTCTGCTTGCGGCTCCCACCTCCCTAGCTCGCCCCTGGGGGCAGCCCCCTTACCTGCTGGGTAGTGAAGGGTGGGTAGGATGCCCGGAGAAGGGGCTGGGCTGTAGGTCGGGGCTGGAGGAGCAGGAAGGTCTCAGAACGGGAGCCCAGTGAGGAGTTGGCAGGAGGATAGTGTCCAATCTGCTGTAGGCGGAAATACTCCGGGGCATCTAAGAGTTCCAGTGTGGCCGGCAGGTAGATAGGGTCAGGGAGCTCAGTGTCCCCGCTCCCTGAAAGGGGAAAGAGCAGAGAGGACGGAGGCTGAGCAGGGGGGCTCACTGGGCCGCGTGAGCAGAGGGCTTCCCAAGTGGAAGCCTGGGCTTAGTTCAGAATCACAGAATCGTAGCGCCTGAGGGGCCTTACCAGGCGTCTCGTACAAGCAACACCCCAGCCAGGGTTCCACCTGTAACATCCTGTGTTGTCAGTTTGCGGTGACAGAGAACTCACTACCTCCCTAGACAGTCCATTCAGGTTAGACCTAAGAGCACCGGGGTCAGGAGTGAGGGGCCCTTGGGCCACACTTCTTCTCCCAGTCTGACGTCCAGACTGTTCCACCTCTGTCCTTTGTAACTCACTCCATTCCTCCCTCCATGTCCCATGCTGCTTTCCTGAGCTTCCCTTCTTCTGGCTGAGCTGGGAAGGCAAGATTAGTGTGACTGCTGAGATCTTGTGGGACCCTTCTCCTCGGAAATAACAATAATTGCCATCTCTGTAGGACTTTCTTCACAACCCTTCCCACTCCTGTTAGGGAGGCAGTGAAATTATTATTATCTCCATTTACTAGACAAGGAAACAAGCTCAGAACAGGGTAAGAACTAAGGAGACGTGGGCAAGATTCAGGACCAAGGGATTATCAAGAAAGCCCTCTCCCTTAAGGCTGGGGATGTCTGCCCCTTTAGAAGGTGGGACCGGCAAGAAAACAGGGTCACAAGACCTGACTTTCAGTTCTGGCTAGACAAGGGAGGCATGGCTTGACATGAGTACATCTGGGGGTCTTAGTGGACCACAAACTCAATGTGAGTCAACAGTGTGATGTGACACCCAAAAAGATGACATAATTGAAGGCTGCTTTAAGAAAGGCCTGGAGCCCAGGGCTAGGGAGACGGGAGGACTGCCATCCTCTGCCCTGGTCAGACCTCATCTGGGGAGCTGGAGAATGTCCAAGGGAGGGCAGCCAGGAGGTTGAACCACTTTGAGTCCAGGCCATGTTTGGAAGGGTTTGGCCAAAAAGGAAGACTTGGGGGAAACAATCACTGACTTCAAGTATTTGAAGGATTGCCACGTGGAAGAAGGATTCACTTTGTTCTATTTGATGCCAGAGGACGTAATGAGGAACAATGGCTAGAAGTGACAAAGGGGGAAACTGAGTCTTGATGTCAGGAAAAACTTCCTAATGATGTGAGCTTTCCGAAGCAGGCAGAAGGTGGAAGATTTCAGGTAAAGTCTAGATGCTGCCCTCCCCCTGAGCCCTTTCAGGGATTTGGCTCCAAGGGAATCCTTGTTCAGGGGCAGGTTGGGCCAGATGGCTGCGTGGGCAGCTTTTCCTGAGCCTCAACTTTCCCATCTGTAAAGAGGGGATAATAACACCCGCCATCCCTGCCTCCAGGGTGAGTGATGGGGTAGACCCAATGCCAGCGGCCTGATGCATGGGAGAAGCACTTCCAAAGGGTTGCCCAAGTGCCAGGGTCGAGGGAGGGGAGCAGGTGACTGAAAGATGCCGCCTCTCGGATCTCAGTCCCCTCCAAGAAGGAGGGAGGCCCTGTCTGGGATGGCGTGCCCAGGCCTGAGAACCCCCCCCCCTTTCTCCCTGCTCCAGGCCCTGCAGCCAAGTGTGTAACAGGTGGATGGCCCTACAGAGGCCCCTCCGTTCCTCCCTCCCACCAAGCTGCATTTCCCAGCTTTGGGAACCCTATCCCCTAGACCTCCCGCTTCCTCCCCAGCTGGTGTTAACGCAGGCCAGGTTGCTCTCCACGTTTCCCATCTGACCCGAAATGGGATCATCCTGCTGAGCTCCCTGGGGAAGGCTGAGGACCTCCGGCCATGGCTCTGCCCTCCCCATCCCGCCACATGGAGAAACAGGGTTGATATTCCCTGCCCCGTCCACAAAGACATCATGGTCCCTCAGTGAGGAAGGTGCTCTCCTCAGTACAACTGAGCTTCCCCAAGCAGCAGTTTACATGGCAGGCAATCGCAGGCCTCTGAACTGCTCTACCTCATTTGTCTAACAGGTGGGTGATGACCTCCCCCTCCCTGAAGGTGCTATCCACCCTCTTTCTTGCCTTCCTTCCTACTAGGAAGCAAAAGACCCGTGAAGACAGAGTGGAAGGGCTCCTGAGGGGAATGACTGCTGTCCCACAGGAGCAGAAGACACAAGAGACCAGCTATTTGAGGCAGGAAAGTCAGGGGCAGAATCCAGGGGATGCTCCCTCAACAGAAAATGTAGGGGGAAGGGGACATCCAGGAGCGAGGGCCTTCGGAAGGACACTGAGCAGCCCAGACCAATGTATTTTCCTAGGGTGAAAGCTGAGAAAGAAGGCAGAGGTACCTGAGACATCCGGGAAAAGAAGCCGGAGACATCTGGGGGAAAGAAAGGTTGGACCCAAAGGCCAGAAGTATCTGAGGGAAAGAATGATCAGACCCCCAAAGGAAAAGAATGATAGGACCCCTGGAGGACAGAAATGTCTGGGGAAAAGAATGATCGGACTCCCAGAGGCCAGAGGTGTCCGGGGGAAAGCAGGAGTCGGACCCCTAGAGGCCAGAGATGTGTGGGGAAAAGCACGATCGGACCCCTGGGGGCCAGGTGTTGTCTGGGGGGGAAATGATCGGATCCCCGGAGGCAGAGGTGTCTAGGAGAAAAGACAGATCGGACCTCCCGGGGAGGGAAGAAAGCTGCCCTAGGCTCGGAGATGCCAGGGAGTTTCCAGTGGGGAGGGAAAGTGGTGCGGTCAGTTACCGTGGTGTCAGGGGGTTGGGTCCAGTATAGATGCGGAGGAGGGGTGGAGCAGTGCTGCTCAGCCCCGAAGCCGAGACTCGTCCTCTGGGGCCTCCCGCCCCAGCAGCCCCAGCAGCACGCGACAGCCCGCCGAGGGCTCCCCCATTCCGCCCCAGGGGCCCCCTCACCTCGCACAGTCTTCAGCGCGAGCAGGGCCACCCAGAGGCAGCCGAGCCCGGGACGCGCGGGACGCCCGGGACGCCCGGCGCCCCGCGGAGGAGCGCTTCGGGGGCTGCCGGCGCCCATGCTCCCGGCGCAGGCTTCAGGGGGCGCCGCTCCGGCCGCCAGGCATGCCCAGACCGCGATGCCCGTGCTGCCCGTCGGGCCCCGAAGCCCCGGGGCCGCCGCCGCTCCGAGCCGAGCAGACAATGGAGCCCGAGCAGGCGGGCGGCGGGCGGCGGGGGAGGGACCCAGCCAGGGACGCCCCGCCCCCGACCCGCCGGGTCTTAGCGCCCGAGCGCAGAGACCCCGCCGCCCGCGCAGGGTCCTGACTCCTCCCGGCCCCCGCCCCCCGCCCCTCGGGGGCCCTGTTCAGGGAGGGGAAACCTACAAGGGTGAGAGGGGGGAGAGGGGGGAGAGGGGGGAGGAAACCGACACGAGGGAGGGAGTAAGGGGAGGGGAGGGAACCGAGGAGCTGACCCAGGCTTGGGACCGCGGCTTCGGGCGCAGACCCTAGGGTCCTCGAGATCGAGGGAGAGAGGGGAGTGTGTGTGTGTGTGTGT